TGTTCCATGTAATGAATGTCATCATGATGTTTCCATGATGTGGTGGCATATTTCGACAAAGACACTTAAATAAACGTGCGTACACCTTGTGTAATGCCAAGGAAATCAAGGGAAAACAGCAAAATGACTGCCAATCAATTTTAGATTCATTTATCATATATTCAGAAATTGCAGAGCATTCAAATTAAGACGAAGGTCACTACACCAGCTAAGCTGCAGTTTCATTACAAAATAAAATTGACATTGACTCAGTAAGAAATATCTATTTACAATTCATCACACAAAATTCATTTTAGGAGAGGTGCTTCATTGCCTGATTTAAAACAGATTCATACTTTGCAGATCATTAAAATTAGGTTAATCCGAGTCGAGTTCTTCCTCCACGAACCGCAACAACGCACGGAAGACCTGCTTCATGTGTTGGCAGAAAGAAAATTGGGTGATCCACAAGATCAAAACAGAACACAAACATCCGTGTAGCGCACAGCGCAGTACACGATGCGCGCCTCGGGCGGCCGCAAGACAGGGCGGTAGTAAGCTCGAGGGAGGGACATCGGGACACGGCAGGGCTCCTGTCAGAGACCTCCGCGAAGATAGCCTGAGAGCCACCCACACACCAGCCCGATGGGTGGCCTAACCACCCGGCGCACCATTACCATAAAGGGCTAGGGGACATACTCTAAAAGTCCACCTAATCTTACCTTACGACAAATTCGTCACAAATTTTAAAGATAATGAAATACTATTGACAGTATCCTCACGCCATGTTGACTGCTCTCTTACATAAAAGGCAAAGACTTGGCGCTTTCCACGAGGATAAATGAACATTAAGTGAACATTGAGACCAGTAAAGACACAGTGTTGAAGTTGGTGAAGAACGATAAAAAGGACACGACCAAATCTTAGTAGCAAGGCTGAAGATTCAGGGTGGCCAAGTGTCAGGGAAAAGTCAGGGACATAGGGAATTGTCGGGCAAAATGGGTAGCTGTTAGGGAAAATCACAATTGTCGGACACTGATTTTTAAGTGTGGGCAGAAAACGTATCTATAGGCTGACTTGGGACCCTCGGAATCAAATTTTCGTCAATATTATGCGTTGTCTTTTGGCTCACTTTACTCGCTTCATAAACTACTAAAAGTGGCTACAAGCAGAGAACATAATCAATCCTTTTCTCTACTTCATTGTAAAACAATTCCACTGCATCACTTGGTGAAGTAATGGTTGCGCAGTTTGGGACGCACACCCGCCTCCCTCTAAAGACGAGAGCCGGCAGGCATCCCTCTGCATTGTGATCATTCATGGCGTAAGCTATTCCCTGTAAATGCACACAATTATTGGATTATAATCAAGTTGGACTTCTTCATTATTGTATGTATTGTGCACGTTTGGTCAGGGAAAGTTGATTAAAGGTCAGGGAAAAGTCGGGAATTTCATTTTCTAAAGTTGGTGGCCACTCTGATATTAAAATTTTACAAAAGAAAGGAGCGTGAAAGCGTCATTGCGATTCTCATGGACGTATAAGGGTAGTTCGGTTTAAAATCCCCCCCCCTCTCCCAAGTTCTTGAACGACGAGCGCCCAAACTTCCTTCGTTGGACCTGGAATGTTCCCAGAGTCATCCAGGACTGCCGGAGTCTTCAGCAACGCTGTGATTAGCTCCTCGTGAGTTACTGAAGGTGTGCGAGGCGTCTGGAACCACTTCGACGTTAGCACGCAAACCCTCAGATGGTCGCTGAAAACTGCGGCCGCAGCTTTCAGCCAGGTAGCAGTGGCGTGTTTCAAGTTAAAACGCTAATGGTACGAGACACCTGTAACTGTAACGCGGGTTATGGAGCCCTGTGAACTTGGCCGGACCAATGTTCGTCTTAAAAAAGGTAAAAGGTGCCAAATACTAGCAAAAAATCTATAACACAATTTCAAGCACATGATAAGTAATATGAAAAAAATGGGAAGGCAATAGCAGATTTATAAAAACAGTTAAAATGATGAAATTGTCCGTCATAATGACTCAGAAAAAAAAAACTTTCAACAAACAACTTCTCAAAATATTAAATTTCACAAAATGACATAAGACCATGGGATATATTTTCCACCCTTAAAACCGCTTCATAGTCTGTTCCCCATAATCTATAGGTCAAAATAAGCGAGTAAAGGATTTTCACCCGTCTTTGAACGAATCCAGGATTGTGTGTCTCGTCCAAATGGCTCCACATACGGATTTAGAATCACCACCTTATTCCACAAAGAGCTTTCAAATGCTAGGGAACGCAGTGTTTAGTTTTGTTACTTTGATGAGGTTTTCTTCATTCAGATACTTGAACACCTCAGTTACAACATTCCGAGGCAGGGTTACTAAGCAGGGCTTTCGCTTGATTTCTACCACAATCCTCAGTGCTGGCCGCGATACTAAAGACATGTTTCGGACTTCGCTACATAATAAGGAGTTCGTCTGGTTAAGTCTCCTAATGTCTCCTGAAATTTTTAACAGTTCAGGAGTTCAGGAGACACATCTAATAAAATGGGAAGGCAATAGCAGATTTATAAGAACAGTTGCAATGATGAAATTGTCCGTGATAATGATTCAGAAAATGGGAAACTTTCAACAAACAACTTCTCAAAATATTAAATTCGACAAAATGACATTAGACCACGGGATACATTTCCCCCCTTCAAATCGCTTCATAGTCTGTTCCTCATAATCCAGGTCAAAATAAGCGAGTAAAGGATTTTCACCCGTCTTTGAACGAATCCAGGATTGTATGTCTCATCCAAATGGCTCCACATACGGATTTAGAATCACCACCTTATTCCACAAAGAGCTTTCAAATGCTAGAGAACGCAGTGTTTTGTTTTGTTACTTTGATGAGGTTCTCTTCATTCAGATACTTGAACACCTCAATTACAACATTCCGAGGCAGGGTTTCTAAGCAGGGCTTTCGCTTACTTTCTACCACAATCCTCAGTGCTGGCCGCGATACTAAAGACATGTTTCGGACGCTACATAAGAAGTTTTAGAAGATTATTACGAGGAGTTCGTCTGGTTAAGTCTCCTAATGTCTCCTGAAATTTTTAACAGCTCAGGAGTTCAGGAGACACATAACGCCCGCCAAAAAGGCAAAAAAAACCATAAAAGAACGAATATTTTTTTGTTAGTTGATATGGATTCTTCTTTTCTCTGTTGCATGCCGAAAACTGCATTCACGTATTCGAAAAACTGCAGCGTCGGGAGCCCCTGAGCCGCAAACATACCTGGGGGGAGGAAAGCCCAGACTCTCAAACTTTCATCGCATCTTTTCTCGGAACACGAACGAACTATCCTTCCTAACTGCAAAGTGCTTCAAAGTGTTCATGGACTATCTTCAGGACTGCAAATCAGTGAAATGAGCCCTTCGGTGAATAATTTCATGAAGTATGTTGGCGTCATGGGACTTTGAGAAAAGACCGCTTTTCACGTCATGTGCAGTATGGATAGTTCTGAATTGACACCACCAGTTGGTCTGGATCTGCTTTGACAGTAAAAATTGTGTTGGATCTGCTCTGTCTGTAAGGACTGTTTTGGACCTACTCTGGCAGTTCGGATTATTCTATTAGGACGCGTCGAACTAGGTCATTCACATTCAAACGGACGTGACACAATGCTCAAAGGAGTACGACATGCACTATTAGAAATCTACTCCGAAATTTTATGGAGAAAAACTCTATAATCACGTTCATGGAGACTCCGTTTAGTTTCCATCTTTCTTCGGGCTCAATTAAATTTTTTTCGGAGTTCGGAGGCATTATTTGGGTCCTGATTTGAGGTAAAATGCAAGTCTTAACATGTTAAAGAGGTGTTTGCCGAAGCATTCTTTAGTCTGAAATGGCCTAAGAAGGGACCATCTGCTTAGAGCCTATTTTACTTAAATCCTGAAGGTCTCGCTCAGTATTGTAAAAACTGAACTAAACAAGGAGGGGTCACTTTTCCCTCATACTTTACCAGGTAGCAAACAGATTTTCGTGATTTCCTGATAGTTAAGTATGAATTCCTGTTCAAAATTCCGAAAATTTTCGGAGAAAACCCAGTTTGCTCTTATGGAGAGCCCCATGCAGAAGTTTTGGAAAAGCTCCATGATTTTTCCATTTTTTTCTCTCGGAAATTTCTGCCAGTGAAAAGGGAAATTCCTGAAATGGAGAGTGCCAATTTCACGTCAATGTCGAAATCGGATAGGCCTATGTCATTGCACTGGAGTGTTGTTGTTCATCAACCCCTCATAGTATCAGGAGTCTCAGTGAGGGACGCGGCAAGGTCAGCTCCTCTTATTTGCACTGGTAGCCAAATAATGTGACGTCACGTTCGTTTTCACGTGAAAACGGCGGTGTTAATTTGAGCGTGACAAACGGTGAAAATTTACAGTTAAACGAATGTGACATACCGCACTGCTTTGTCACATTACTTCGGGTGTGAAACGCAATCAGCTGTCGAACTGTCACATTAAAACGAATGTGACATCCATGTACTGTCACTTGGGTACCATGTGTCACATTCGTTTTAATGTGACAGTTCGACAGCTGATTGGGTGACACACCCGAAGTAATGTGACAAGGCGGTGCGGTGTGTCACATTCGTTTGACTGTAATTTTCACCGTTTGTCACGCTCAAACTACACTTCCAATTTCCTACTGAGAAATGCCGTGCTGTCATAATACTAAGCTAATTCTCAGTACTTTACAACTCAAATCTATCATAATACAAAGAAATTTGTTTGTAATACTAAGAAACTGGTCATAAGTTACTGAGAACCCCTCACCATACGTTACTGCCTTCGCTGTGCTGTCATAATACTAAGCTTTTTGTTCGTATTACGAAGAAAAAGCTCAGTAGGATCTTGGGAGTGTAACATCGCCGTTTTCACGTGAAAACAAACGTGACGTCACATTCCTAGGCTACCAGTGTGATACTGCTTTATTTTAGAGGCAAGTTGCGCACGTCGTGGGCACCGCGATACGTGCCACAACGTGCCTCCCAAGTGTACCTTGGGTCACGCTTTACACCTCGACCAGAACAGCAGCTCAAAGGTGGTGTTCCCTCTCCTACTTAAGGCCTATGGCTTGTGGATCAGCCAGTCCGGTACTTCGCTGGGACACGTACTTAATACGCACGGAACACTTCTTTCAGGCAAGTTTATAACGTCCACCACCTCCACTGTGGCAAAAAGCTACGGAAAATTATGTAAACAGCTTGTGGTAATTCTCCGTAGCCCCCTTATCAATATTCTCCGTAGGCTCTTACAGTATTTTCCGTAGGACCGCACAGTATTCTCCGTAGGACCTTACAGTGATCTCCGTAGGACTATACCGTCTTCCAGGCCCTACGGAGAAGACTGTGCGGACTTACAGAGAATACTGTACGGCACTACGGAGAATACTGTAAGAGCCTACGGAGAATATTGATAAGAGGGCTACGGAGAATCCTGGCAAAAAAATTAACAGAATTTTCCGTAGCTTTTTGCCACAGTGTCTATAGTTAGGCCTAGGGGGTGGCAACGGCGTAGGGAGCGCGTGAAGCCATGCTCTTCTGTTCCACGAGGGGTTACGGACTTCTCCGATATTATTGAATCTTGGCCGTTGTTCGCGAAACTCCTTTAAATGGCCGTGTTGCAATTTGGTATGATAGAAGTTATATATACCACGAAAGACCGGATTGAAAGGTCTGTTTTAATACAGTTAGTACTAATTTTGAGATGCCGGTTCGTCGGGTTAGGGACCTTCAATTTTCGTAAGTTTGTTTATTTTTTGGTTGCAGGAACTTTTCTTAATAAAAGATAAATAATCATAAAATTGATCAAAATATATACATAAAGTATATATAAATATATCCGAACAGAGATATATATGTTAGCAAAAATAGGTACGAAGGTACTGTATTACAATAGTCTCGACTTCTTGACACATTTCTTGCTTTCTTTCTTCCTTCTTTTCAACTCAATTTCATCGTTTCTTCTCTTAGTTGCAAAGAACATCCTCATGGTTAAATAGAACACAATGACTTTCTTTGTGACGTCCTCCTTGTGCAGGATGCAGCCACCTGTCTGCACAGTTTGCACTCCAAAAGCAGACGAATGCACCGAATGCACTCTTCTCGCAGTTGTACAAGGCTGGCATTTTACTTTTCAGCCAAACACAAGAGTACCAATGATTTTGGATTTTTTAATGAACTTAAGACTGCACCTGTAAAATTTCTGATGAATGTAAACACAGACCTGCCTCAGGGCCCTACCGCCTTCAGTTTTCGTCATTTTACTATTATTCTCAGAATAATTTCTACCTGACAGGACACATTAACTCCAGGGTGATAATTTGGGACAATAGAAACACAATCATATCAATTTTTAACGTCTAAACCCCATAAGACGCCTGCAGCCGGTGGATCCTCCACCCTGGGAGGTAGGCAACACTCTACCAAAAATGTCCTGTCAATGCCGTTAATTTATTACCAGTTTTCACTGTAGGTCAATTCACAGCGTTTACTGTGATCTGCTCACGCGATTCACTGTGATCTTGTTCACGGTGTTCACTGTGATCTAGTTCACAGTAAACACTTTGAGTTTGACGCCGCTGAGCACCGAAGTGCTGCAAATCAGGCTCCAATTCACGGCGTTTACTGTGGCCAGATCACAGTGAACACTGTAACCGAGATCACAGTGAACGCCGTGAACTAGTTCACAGCAAACGCCGTGAATTGCATAACAGCAAACATTGGTAATAAATTAACGGCGTTTACAGGACATTTTTTGTTGAGTGAACCCCTCCCGTCCGGCGGGGGGCGCCATGTTCGCAGCCTGGCTGAGGGGAGTGATCAGTCCGCAACCTCCTTAGTCCAAGCGTTCGGTTCAACGTGACGTCACGTACTTGCAATGAGAGTGCATTTGGGTTAGCTGAGGCCTACTGGCCTGTACTAATATTTCAACTTTTGAAAAGAGAAGAAATGTTAGCACCAAGATGGCGCCACTGTGGCGGATTGAAGTGAAATTTGGATTGCCGAAGGGATTTGTTTTCGATTATAGTGTTGCCTCTGGGGGCATAAACGTAACGATTCGAGCTCCATTATAATGCCTGCACTGAAAATAGAAAGGTCAGACTTATAAGGGCCTTACTGGGCCGAAAAAGGGTCATACTTCGATGTATGACCGAAAAATGGCCATACTTTATGGTGTATTACAGGTAAAGGCTGATATATCCCCAAGCTAAACAATAGACAGTCTCGCTGATGTCTGACCTTTTTTTTTGGTCATACATTTAAGTATGAGTATGACCCTTTTTCGGTCATACATTTGTGTATGACCGTTTTTCGGTCATACATTTTGTATCACCGAAAATCGGTCAGATGTCTCATCCTTCGAATTTCAGTGTGAACTTGTTGCTCCGCAGTGCCGACAATGCTTTTCTTCAAGCTGTGGGCGTTAATGCCCCTGGCCCTGCTGATCGTGATCGGCGGGCCACCCCATGCGAACGGCGAGCCTCAACTTGGATCAGGCACGTATTTTTGAAGCTGTGACTCCGAGCGACGAATCACTAGTGTACTCATGTGTACAAAGTTGCCCGAACTCAGTGTACTCACAAGTGTTAATAGGGCGAGTTTCACAAGTTTTTGGACCGATTTGGTGTTGAGTGACGTTTAAAACGCTTAAGCCTCTCTCAGATTGTAAAAGAAAAAAAGTACTAAGCGAAACTTGAGTTTAAACTGAGATATTACTTGATACGATCGTCCGAAACGTCGAAAATGTAAAAAAAAGGTTCAACTGTATCATTCTTAACTTTTGCTAAACGATCGGGACCTTTCAGTCATGCTTGAAGAGACCCTGGCGAAACTTTCAAGTAGGCTTTAAAATAATCCCAGAAAGTTGAAACTTCGGTTAATTGTTGGGCCCGTTGTGGTGAGCTTCCAAACCAAAATTCAATCCAGATTATTGAACGACCTCAGAGAAAAGTGCAACTTAACGTAAGAAATAAATTGTTGGTCACACTCAGAAACGCTTGCAAAGAAAAGTACTTTGCAGTGCAAAGTATTCTCCGGCATTGTATTACAAACTCCCTTGCGAATTTTTTTCTTCGCATTGCAAAGAAATAGTTCGTAAGTTATGAAGAAAAAAGTTTGCAACGTTGCGAAGCTTTGGTTTGTAACGTTGCAAAGCATTTTGTTTGCAAGTTGCAGAGAAATACTTCGCAATGCAAAGAAAATAGTTTGTAAGAGAGTTTGCAATACAATGCCGGAGAATACTTTGCAACGTTTTTTGGGTGCACCGATCGATTATGGGCCATTTTTTTACGGACCGTTACAAATTCGTGAATGAGTAAATGACTCCAATTCTGATGTGGATCTTCCTTCAATCTTTCTGGAGAAAAAGCGTTTCTTGGGGTCGCTTTGAAAATTGCTGATCTACAATTGGTTCACGAAATCTATTCCAAAGCGACGTATTTTTAAGACGGCCGTAGCTCTATAAACAAAGACGATAGACGAGGGTGCAATGCTGCAAAACGTAGTCAAAGGATCATTTAAACCCATCAACGCTACATTGGCCACTTGTTCAAAATTTATACTTTAAATATGCGTTTTTCTAAAGACTGACCCTTAATTGATTTTGTACTTAAGCGTTTTTCAGAGCGTTGGGGAGAAATCTTCCTGCGTCTTTCATTGAAACGAAAAAATCTTGGATTTGTTTGGGGGTCATCCTTATGATGTAGAGAAGAAATTTTACTGATGTGGTTTTCAAAGTCAACTTTGGCCTGAGAATTCTTTAAAATAAGCATTTAAAAATAGGGAACTTTTGAGAGCTTGAAGGTGGTTACCCGAAGAATCTAAACCCTTATTTGCACGCCTTTATCTACGAACTTGTCGAAAAAACTTCATATTTTCGTCTCATGTCTTCGGGTTGAGGAAAACCAAAAATTGAAGTTTGGTTTGATTTGAACAACCTTTGTCGAAAACACTGCTTTTTTCACATATAGACAGCGTCATCCATACTGTAACAGAACCCTGTTGCGCGTAGCCGTCAGCCCGTTGGCGAGCATCGTCAACCCCGTCAGGGGAATCTTGGACCCGGTCGTGGGCGTCCTGAGCCCCGTGGTGGAGGTGGTTACTGGATTGGCTCCCATCCCTGGCGCCCTGCTCGGTGCCGTGGCGCCCCACACGGATGTGCTCAACCCGCTGCTTCAGTCCGCACTGCTGCAGAACAACATCACGCAGTTCTCCTCGGACATCGTGACAAGCCTCACGGCCGTGGTGGGCCTGGTGGCCAACGCCCTGCTGCCTGTGCCTCCATACCTCAGGCCGGTAAGCACGACGGAAGCGAGAAGACAGCAAGCACTGCTAATCGAAGTATAGACCAAGTCCACGCTATGTTAGGTGGACCACGATGGTCCACGCAAGGAAATATGGACCAAGCACCTGGAAGTGTGATTGGCCCATGAGGAGTTCAACGTTGTCCACACTTCCAAGTGTGGACCACAGCTTGGTCCGCGTTTCCTAACGTGGACCGTTGGATAAGCAGTGAGGAGGTTTAGTTTACAAACTCAAGAGGTTCAACTTACTTCACGTTATTTCATCATTGTATTTCACAATATTTCGACGTTATTTCAAGGGAAACATTCACCAAAATTCAATTTGTTTCCCTCCTCATTGTTGTTATGAAGCAAAATCCTTTGTAATATGAATTTCTTCATAGTACGAAGCTACTCTTCAACGTTTCATTTTCACCGTAGTTACGAAGCAGATGCTTTGGAGACTTAGGCTATTTGAGAGTTGATGTTAATGGTTGGTTCAGCATCTTGCGACGTGAATCCCCTCTCGGGGCAAAATATAAACACAACTTCATAAGGTACTGAAGCAAAAGTCCATTCTATTTATCTAATGAGGAAACTTGAGGCAGCTTCCTTGTCCAACCAAGCTTTGCCAGTCCCTTCTCAAGTTTACGACCGTTTAATAAGTGAGGGACGGCTCCAGCACACTGGCTTTCCAACAGTAGTGGATCACTATGATAAGAGACAAAAATAGACCTTGAGGCACAGACAAAGTAACATTTTACCTTCTGGTTCCAGGACCAGGAAGCGCCGAAATTCGGCTTCGTCGGAGAGGCCTACAACGTGACGACTTCCGACGGCTACATCCTTGGAGTGTTCCGAGTTCGTAGCGGAACGTGCCGCTCGTATCGTTCTGTGGTTATTATCCCGCCAGGTGTCCTGTCCAATGCGGCTTCCTTCATCTTTTTGAAGGAAAATAGCCTCGGTTAGTTGTGAGGACACTGTAAATCGAACACTGTAATAGACTATTCTAGTCGTCGTTGACTGAAGAACAAGAAGAATCACAAAACCGGAAATAGAGTAGATGGGGAGTCGGTAAGTGAGTCTGGTTTAAGGGAGTAATATTGACAAATATATATCTTTCCTTTGCCAAAAAGTATTTGACACAAGCTAAATTGATTTTAAAGGAGTGTCGAATCGAAAGACTTCTTAAATGATGTACTAGGACGGGTGAGTGAGATTAAGTTGCCGGCGCCATTTCCGGTTTTGTGATTCTTCGTGTTCTTTAGTCGACGACGACTAGAATAGTATATTGGAGTGTCAAGAAGTGCAACTAGCAAGCTCTGACCTGAAGTCCTAATGTACTTGCCGATGCTAAGCGCTTCGGTCCGCTGGCAAGGTAAGGAGTAACCTTCTAACGGGGCCCGCTTGCCAATTTTTGACATTCAAAACGGCTCGCTGAATGGCCATGGCGTGAGCTGTATACGATGTACACAGTTTATAAGTCACCCATGATGTGTGCATAATTAATACTTCGTTAACTGGTCTGCGTCATAGAGCGCTCCGACAAAGCGTGAAGACATATTCGATCTCTTCATTCAAAATGAAAGAGTTATTGGATTTCAGAGTGCTAAAATGTCGAAAAAGACATTAGAAGTTCAATTACCCCTGTATTTTTCATTTTAATCCACACTGGAAACTTAAGTGTGTACCGAGTGTGTACTAAGTACACACTTAATTTTTCAGTGCATGACACATGATATATGTAGACATTTTTTGTTTGTCTTTTTGAGACGGATCTAAATCTGTAAGGAAATGTGTGTTTAGTCAAGTCTGAAAATTTACTCCTGGCGCTGTCCTGCGAAAGTCCGCAGAGCCGAGAGCCGGCGGAGCGGTCGAACATCGAACCCTTGAGGGTTCGATTCTACTTAAGCCCGCTTTTCGAATCGGACGAGAATTGGGACCGCCTTTCATGGTACGGTTCGACCTTGGTCTCACATGTGACTTTTTAATTGGGATTCTTCTTGCAGTGTACCGTCTTGCGCGAGAATGCAACGATGTTTGGCTATTGACGTTCCGTGGTTATATATTTGGACGTGGACACACTCGTCTCAGCGACACAAGCTCTGAATTCTGGGATTATTAGTAAGTCTGATTCTGCGATGGTTTACGTTGTTTTCACAAAGTTTTGCCTAATCAGTTTCGAGCAAATCTTTTCACACCAATTCTTAGTTTACATTTTTATATGTTTCACACACTTTTCATATGAACCAATGAACATAGGCCAGCAAAATGAGTACCTCACTTTTGTTTTGTTCAGGGTGATAACTTAAACCGTTCTATTTTTTCACGAAGCACTTAAATGGCTGTTCTAAGATTTCCTTAATGGCACACCTGAAAGTGACTCTGTAGATGGTCACCCATCCAAATGACTTCTATGTACTTCATAAAAGTTTCTCAAGATTAAAAGTTTCTCAAGATTGAAATCAAAATGGAGTTTTTTAATAGTGTGTTCAAAGGAATTGGGTGTGCGATTTTTGTTTGACCGTACTTAAGCGTACGAACCAACGTGACGCTTGTAATTGATACAGACATGAGATTATTCATGTTCTCACCACTGCGACGTCACATTAGCCGCAGAACAGAGAAATATCACTTGAGGATGTTAACCTCAGAAATTTGCTTCACGCTGTGCAGTCAATACCACTGGGGCGTCTATGACCTGCCGGCCCAGATAGAGTTCGTCTACCGGAAGACTAACAGCACCAGGATGCGCTACTTCGGCGTGGACCAGTCCGGCACCGCCCTGCTCTTCATGAACCACGTGCACGGACAGCGATACCAGAGGTTCCTGGCCGCCACATATCTTTTCGCCCCCATTGGCTACCTTGGACGTCTCAAGTCCGTGGTCTTCGCTACACTCGCCGTTCTCCGTGACGGCCTGACGGTATTGATTCGAAGCGACTTTTCGAACTTTTCATGCCTCGGTATCGCAAGACCCCTATCAAGCCCCTTTCAGTCGTCTCCGAGTGAAAAGCAAAAGTATTCAAAGCGTCTCGAACCAGTAAAACCCGACCTAACTGCCGTTACTGTGAACTGCCCAAAGCTGAACCCTGATTGGTCACAAGCGGAGGTATGGAAGAAGTTCACAGCAGTGGCCGCTAGGCGGCGCGAGTCGACCCAGCCAAAGGTCTCGGTTCTTGCGACCGTTAAAACTGCCCATTCCACCTCGAAAGTCCGCCCGCACCAGCCCCCGCGCAGGCCCCGGCCCCGTGGAGGGGCTAGCACTAGCCCGGTCGCAAGAATCGGGACCATTTGCTGGTCGACTCGAAAACCTTTGTTTTAGTGCTCACAAAGGAACGCAGCTTCTTATAACATGTTATATGTTTAGCATATATAAGCTTACAAAGAAAATACTGCGTAATTTAGGAACTATTTCTTTGCACAACAAAGTGAATTAGGTGGGACTATGCATGCTTCAAATACTTCGTAAGGTTTGAAGCTTGTGCTTTTTGTGCTTTTCATCGGCGACGACTAAGGGTCTAGGCTAAAGAGACTTCAGCCAGTCGGTGAATGGTTATGGTTTCTAAGGTTTCGTCTTGGATTTATAATCAGGCCGCCGGAGCACTGGTGCTGCACAACGAAGTTGCCTTCATGAACCCGACGATACACTCGGTGCTGTACAACTTGTGCGGCCGAATCAGCCCTATCACGTGTTACTACATATTCCAGATCCTTGCAGGAAACAGCAGAGAGATCAATTACGTGAGTTGACGAAAACAAGGGGAAGGAGGGGTCAGCTTACTGAGAGCGCTCTTAAAAGTGCAGGCTGAGCTTAGTTCACACTAAAAGTGCGTGCTTTGTTGAGTACACCCATTAAATTTATTTGTACAATTTTGTACGTGGTCTCGCACAAATTTAAACAGGCGAACCATCAGCTACAAGTTTCTACGCAGAATCGCACAAATTCTTGCGAAGATGCATGCAAATTTGTACGAAAAGCACGTGGGCCTATGCGCAAAGTTGTGTGAGACCTACGAACATTGTACGAAAGGAATTAAGAGTGACTAAACTGTAGAAACAAAACAAAAATTAACTTTTCTTCTTTTCCTTTAATTAAAAGGATTTTTTTCTCTTCAGCCACTGTTCCCTTATATGTTTGCGAACTTACTGGACAGTATATCGGTAACTACGATCAATTATTATCTTCAACAGGTTGGCAAGAGTAAGTATTGCAATTACCTTGAGGGAACTAGTATCCTTACTCAGGATCAGCAATAATCTTACCACACTCGCGGCTCACTGTTCCATTGCTCTTGTGCAGTTAATTACATGGCGTATTTCGACTACGGCCCGGCTGAAAACCTGAGGCGATACAACCGAACCACCCCTGAAAACGTCAACATAGCTGCAACCACAGTGCCATGCAACTTCTACGCCCTCGGCAGCGACTCTGTAACCGTCCCAGAGGTAAGAGCGCCACGTGAAACAAGATTCTTGCAAGAATAAACGATCGTAGTATTGTTGACTTCGGCAAATCAGCCTCCAAACTTTCACTGTAGAAAAAATCCACGGTACAGGCACAGTCTGGTAGACAATTTGCCTGGTTCCACCGTACCTCAGCCAGTACGGCTTTTGGGGTACGGAGTACGGTTTTTCATAACATGGGCTCTTATGGGAAGCACGGTTTTTGGGTACAGTGGTTCTGAACACCGTACCTCAGTACGGTCCAGCCGTACCTTTTTCCTTGAAATGTACGGCTTATTAAACAGCGTTTGAGAAATAAGCAATTTTGAGAGATTTTGAAACCCCGAAACATTGGTTGTTTAGGTTGCCTTGCATGTCGCTAGGCGCGCGCAACAGCAGTTTTGCTTCTGGCGAGGTCCCGACCAACCTTGAATTGATCACTGAAGATGTGTTCCCTTTCCTTAAGGGGAGGTTCTGGTGAAAATCTTGCCATTTTCCAAATGGATCCCACTGTCATAATTTGTTCGGAATATAAAATCTTTCTATGAGGACACTAAAATTAGATTTTTGAAAGCACATCCCAGGCTCTGAACCCAGTCGAAGAGTCTTTTTGAGCCTATTTTGGCTGTATCTTAAAAAATCTCCTTGCGCATACTATTTAGTCGTAAAAGGTTGACCTTTACATTTTCACTTCTTCGTTTCATTTTTAAAAGATGCCGGCATGCACAACTCAAAATGTCCATTACAGTATTAATTGATAGCTTTTTAAGCTGAAAAGTCCCTAAAATTTGACTATTTTGTACATTTTTGACCGATTTTAGTGAAATGCTTGGCTAGAAAGCTTACGAATAAAAATGTAATTTACATTTTGAGCTGTGCATGCCGGCATCTTTTAAAAATATATCGAAGAAGTGAAAAATGTCAAGGCCAACCTTTTACGACAAAATAGTATGCGCAAGGAGATTTTTTAAGATACAGCCAAAACAGGCTCAGAAAGACTCTTCGACTGGGTTCAGGCCATAAAATGTGCCTCCCCAATGAAAAATTTTAATAATTACTTGGTAAGACATCAAATTTTTAACTAATTTTCATAGTGGGACTCATTTAAGAGAAAATAGCATTTTCACCAGAACCTCCCCTTAATCCGGATTCCTCGTCTTTTGCAGGACGTCCTCGCCACGTATCGCGCCCTGGCCCCGTCTGCCCGGGCGTCCTTCCAGGTGCTGGACAAGTACAGTGGCGTGAGCGGTTTGTTCGCGGTCGACACGGAGGGCATTTATGGCCCAGCGATCCGCCGGCTGAACGCCGACCTGGCGAGCGGCGCGTGAACGCCTCAACGACGACTTCTTTTCTCTTCAAGAAATCCTGCTAGTTAATCGTACGGCGCTGCGCTGTTAATATGCTATGGGGCACTAGACACGATTCGAATAAATTGAAATACCCTCCACAGCAGTGATGGACATCACTTTCACCTGTCCCCCATTTCCTTACATCCACTTGACAGAAATCAGTTACACTGCCTTCATCATGTCTTGGGGGAAAACAACTTCGAAAAGTTATGTATCCCGTTTTTTCAATCTCAAAGTATTTGTGGGTTATTTTAATGTTGTTTCACGTTCTTCAAGGGACAACATACACCAAAAACCTTGTCTGTTGATTTTGCCCTCAAACACAATCCCTGAGCCCTGCATTCCTCTGAATTCCCTGTATTCCACACATTGCACTACACGTAAGCGCAATACCGTAATACACTCGTGGACAAAATTAAAGGAACGTTTTTTTGAGCTGGCCGTAAATACCTTAGTTTTTGTCCGATCTTAACGAAACTTCGTGACGGGCAGCTTTGAAGGGTCCTCTTGACGCATGGGAAGTTGCATTTGCGAGGATTGATGTTTAGGGGTGGTTTCACCCCCGTTAAGGGGGTGGTGCCGAAAAACGCAATTTTTGAAGGGTCTACAGGGGTCGCGGTGGGTTCGAAAAATCTAAAAACCACTCAGGGTGCTTCGTCTTGACGCCCTCTACAAAACGCAACCCCCGCCAGCCCTCTCCGACGAACCCACCCCCTACAACCCCCACCTCCCTCTAAAATCCAGAGTTTTTTACCTACAGCTCTAAAATTGCGCACACGTCCATCTCTGGACTCCTCTGATGCAGGGAAAGTCCACCCCAGTTCAAAGAGTCCCATAGCCACCCCTTGGAGGGGCGCAACAGATTGTTTGTTTTCAACCCCTTCTGACATGAAGCACTACCGATCATCGGACGGCGATGAAATTCACCATAATCCGTCCTTGGGTGGACAGGATCAATGCCGAAAAGACCCCGTTTCGAAAGCTACCCCCTGGCGTGAACAGGGGTGGTTCAAAGTTAGGGGTGCGCAACCCCCGAGCTTTAGGGTTGAAATGTGCCCGCCGCGCTTTCCCTGCGTACAGCACGGCCAGAGGCATCGGCCGCAACCCGCTTGGCTGCAATTTTCGCGTGAAGACACAGTTTACCGACCAAAATGTTCAAATTTCACAAAAAGCCACCCCTAAGTTTGGGCCCCTCTGGAGGGTGAACGAGTTGAGCCAGGACGGTGGGGGCCGCGGAATCTGAAGCGCGGACGCTTCATTACCAGACCCTCAAAAACTCGGAACTTTCCAATCGCGCGTTCACTGCCAAATCGTTGCGGAATTTCATATCGAACGAACGGAACGGCATGGACACGCAAGCTGCGGCTCCCGGAGGTAGGCAGCCCATCGTACACCGTGTGTCCCCCTCCTCGCTTTCCCCTTCAATTTCAGCAATTCCCGAGTATTGGCGCCGCTTTTAATGGATCGTAGCAATTATTCTCTCGCAAAACGCCGCAAAACGATGAAATTGAAGGGGAAAGCGAGGAGGGGGACACACGGTGTACGATGGGCTGCCTACCTCCGGGAGCCGCAGCTTGCGTGTCCATGCCGTTCCGTTCGTTCGATATGAAATTCCGCAACGATTTGGCAGTGAACGCGCGATTGGAAAGTTCCGAGTTTTTGAGGGTCTGGTAATGAAGCGTCCGCGCTTCAGATTCCACGGCCCCCCGTCGTGAGCTCAACTCGTTCACCCTCCAGAGGGGCCCAAACTTAGGGGTGGCTTTTTGTGAAATTTGAACATTTTGGTCGGTAAACTGTGTCTTCACGCGAAAATTGCAGCCAAGCGGGTTGCGGCCGGTGCCTCTGGCCATGCTGTACGCAGGGAAAGCGCGGCGGGCACATTTCAACCCTTAAGCTCGGGGGTTGCGCACCCCTAATTTTACCACCCCTGTTCACGCCAGGGGGTAGCTTTCGAAACGGGGTCTTTTCGGCATTGATCCTGTCCACCCAAGGACGGATTATGGTGAATTTCATCGCCGTCCAATGATCGGTAGTGCTTCATGTCAGAAGGGGTTGAAAACAAACAATCTGTTGCGCCCCTCCAAGGGGTGGCTATGGGACTCTTTGAACTGGGGTGGACTTTCCCTGCATCAGAGGAGTCCAGAGAAGGACGTGTGCGCAATTTCAGAGCTGTCGGTTAAAAACTCTGGATTTTAGAGGGAGGTGGGGGTTGTAGGGGGTGGGTTCGTCGGAGAGGGCTGGCGGGGGTTGCGTTTTGTAGAGGGTGTCAAGACGAAGCGCCCTGAGTGGTTTTTAAATTTTTCGAACCCACCGCGACCCCTGTAGACCCTTCAAAAGTTGCGGTTTTCGGCACTACCCCCTTAACGGGGGTGAAACCACCCCTAAACATCAATCTTCGCAAATGCAACTTCCCATGCGTCAAGAGGACCCTTCAAAGCTGCCCGTCACGAAGTTTCGTTAAGATCGGACAAAAACTAAGGTATTTACGGCCAGCTCAAAAAAACGTTCCTTTAATTTTGTCCACGAGTGTAGCACCAAATGAGGCCAAATGGCAGCGTTTTGGTGCCGTTGTACATGTTTAACATCACCGAGCGCAGCATAATACCGAGAAGTCTGCGACGTGTTAACCACCTGGATTCTGAAACTAACAAATTAACGCTGGCCTAGCGCCATTAACCACACTCCTAACTCATAGGGCAGTTCGTGACAAAATTAATACCCAACTAGTCCGATTTGTGTTCAACCCCAGTAACTAACGGGAGGGGGGGGGGGGGGGGGGGCAGCAGTCGCTTCGCGACCCTGACGTCACATGACGCTTCTCATACTACCAACCGCGCAACATGAAAATTCAGCTGGCCCCGCCTGCCGTTGCGGTCCTCGGGGATGTGGTGTCGTTGAGTTGGTATCAGTGCCATAACAAAGTGGACGAAGGAATAGAGGGAAGGTTAGGTTCAATATATCAAGGAAGAGACTGGTGACAGTGAATTAAAGTGAGGAACAAACTATGTTGCTGGTGATGTTGAGTTTAAGCCTGGTCGCTCAATGGCAAGACATGGAATTTCTCATGCTTAATATCCCCTTAATTTTTTCCGCCAGTGTATGAGGCTACTTCGTGCCTAGAAAACATTGTGAGAGGTTTTGAAAAGTTTGGTTCTAGAGGAAAGACTCATTTAATTAACTGACCATGCCCTTGTCTTCATGGCACAGGGACTGAATACAAAGTGGGTCCTGCCCGTAGCATTTTATATAGTTTCCAAAACGTTTCCCAGAACTATGCTTTCAATACTTCTCAAGGACGGAATTACTTCTCTCTCCAATTTGGGCTTTAATGTCGTAGCCAGTATTTCTGACCAAGGTCCCACTAACAGAGGGGCAATTGCTGACCTCAAGGCAGAGAGTGGTGATAGTGTCTTATTGGCATGGGTGCTCAGGGTCGATCCCTATCACCCAAGACCAAAAAAATTGGAATCTGAGATGAGTCATTTTAGGGGTCCGATGGTCTCACAAAGAATGGGCCGGGGATGGTGTGCCAGATAACAAAACTCGTGCAAGTTCGATTAGTGCAGGAATAGCATCAGTTTTCCACTCCAAGGGCTGAAAAAATATTACAGCGGAAGACCTGTCAAACTGCATGGCGTGCCTCTCAAGTGAATATAAACAAAAATACGATTTGCTTAGACTGACCGGAACAAACAAGGAGGAGGCTGTAAATTGGCCTGGCCCTATTATGATTTTTCTTTCCACAATCGCTCTCTCTCTCTCTCATCGCCCTCCTCATCTGAAACATAAATCATTTATGAATGCACATCAACTTTTATGATTAGGGAGGAAAGTGTGATTCTAGAGCCGCAAAAGCTGTTAAGTTTTGGATCTCTTTGGTCAATATTCTGTTTCTAAAGTGACCTCTAATCATGGTTTTCCCCTTTGTTCGCAGACCAGGTAAGCATCATGAAGTAGATCCCCGTTGGTTAGCTCTACGTGCCGCTCCCCTGCCGACGCCCTGGTTGGCCCAGCCCGGGTCCTGGATCCTCCCCCCACCAAGGCCTCGCCTCGCGTTGCTGGCCGCGGCAGTGCGCCCGGCGGACGTCGTTTGGGTCATCGCTCCTTGGCATTAACCTCGCTGCCAGGCCGCCATCGGGTCCCCCGCCCCGTCTCGCACGCAGAACTTGACGCACTAGACTAAGCCTTTTGTGTTACAGCACCGGCAGCCGCTGGGCAACCTGCCACAGGACCCCGCGCAGCCGGCCGTGCAGCAGGTGGGGCCGCCCCTCGAGCAGCAAGTGCCGTAACAAGTGGTGAGTCACTAGTGTACTGTTGTGTCTGTGGGTGGTGGGTGAGGGTTAGAGGGGACGAGAGCAGGGTTGCCACAAATATGAAATTTTCATTTTCCCTGACTTCGAGACCAATATTTTATGTATTTCCCTGACTTTTTCGGATACTTTTTCCAGCAGTTGGGTATATGAAGTGATGAGTTTATCGAACGAAGTAGGTGTCTAGGGTCATTTGTGCCACTTATTTCCGTTTTTCCCTGACTTCATTTCATTTTCCCTGACTTTTCCCTGACCATTTTCAGATTAACTGACTTTTCCAGGTTTTCAAAGTCTTCCAAACTTGTGGCAACCCTGGAGAAGAGTACAGCATCATCCAAAAACGAACGCATTCCAGCTCATCTCCATCTTCCGCCCGTCTCCATCCATCGCATCCCTCGCACATGCGTTCTTTCGTGCCGAATGTTTGTCAATTCGTGGGTGAGCCCCGTTTTCCTCCCTGGCCAATCCTTCAGTCCAGTTGGATTAGAGTCTTTCTAAGTTAGAGTCTTGGATTAGAGTCTTTCTATGATTCACTGTAGGGCTTGTACAATAGTCATGGTGCTGACGACAGTCGCCTCTGAACTTCATAGCGGGCTAGTGTTCTAAGGAAAGTTTCAGGATTTTGCTGCAGTCAATCTTTTAAAATTTGAATTTTGCTGTTAACTTGGATGTCTCTTTAATATTGTGATAATTGTATTTTTGGTAAGGGAGGGTGGGGCACCTAGTGACACTTTTTGGATTTTGGCACTCACTCCGATACTGTGCGAGGAATGAATCTGCTTACACTTCAAAAGGTTGCTATGATCCTTCCTTGATCGCAAAAACATGTTATGGAGTTTTGACAACACCTATTTCTATTATTGCCTGAGCGATAGCGAAGCCTGTTACTCCAGTGGGGTTGAAAAATTTTTCCTGTCTGTCTGTGTGTCTGTCTGTGTGTGTACACTACTCCTCCTGAACGGCTCGACCGATCTGGCTGAGATTTTGCAGGCTTATGAGGTATGTCCTTGGCTCGGCACACGCGAAATTTCACCATCCTAGCTCAACTGGTTCAGTTTTTATAGCCGAAAAACATCTTAAAAACGGCGAAAAATCGAGTTTTCTGCAGGCAGATCACTTCTGTCTTGAAGAAAGGGGTGTCTGGGGGGCGGAGCTCCCCAACCTCGACAAGTTAAAAAGTGACAAGGGTCAAGATCGTGTTATCTGTAGATTAAGCAACTCTTTCTAGAATTAAGGGAGGTCTGGGGGGCGGAGCCCCACAGCATGCAACACGTAAGAAGTAACCGACGATGGACAAGCCAATGTCTGCCGAAGGCAGGCTAGCGCCGCAGGCCAAGGTAGGTACGCCAGGCGCGGATTGGAGGAACAGGCCGCGAGACATCGCGAAGCCTGTTACGACAAGACGCGGTCTGGCGTAAACCTACCTTGTATTAAAAGTGTCCTTCAATCCTCCTTGACCAGGGCTGGAAAATTAGCATGTCCTTCTCAGAAGTTTACAACAATAAGTTCATGATTTGTCGACTCCTAATGCTACTAAATGTAGCAAGCCATCAGTAAGTTTTTGAATATTCATCATGGCCATAATTTCCTTTATGCTTCTTTACTGATTACTGTTATTTTTGAAGGTTTCCGAGATATCATCTAAATTAGAATTTCAAAAGCATTTGAAAATTGCTCTAAAAACTAGGACAACTTGTGCTACCTCACGAAATGAATATTCCTCGAGATCCCACTTCATCATAGACGTAGAGCTACACGTACATAAGGATGGTTCTTCCTCCATGCCATGTATGAATATTGCTTTTAATTTTCTTGCGACAGACTCAAGTTGAAACTCTTCAGGACCAAGTGCTAATTTTGAAAGTAAGTGGCTTTTATATCGTGCTTTCAGACTATTTCGTTTGAGTTACACATCTAAAATTTACGTCTTGATGTTTACAGCAAGAAACGTCTTCGGTAAGAGAGCAAATCCTTGATTTGAGAGTAAGTATCTTATTTAAAATGTTCTTTTAAGAATGTTTGTAAATAAAGGGTTCTGATTGTAATGAATCTGTTGCAGGGCAACATCCGAGTAGTGTGCCGTTTGAAACCGACAGCTATGGGAATACCAGATCTGAAGTACGATGAGGAAACCGTTTCCATCAGAACTGGTTTGTACAAGGAGTGTTCCTTTTCCTTTCATGAGTCATCGGAACTTAGTGTAATGATTTGCCTTAATTTTGTTTTTTATATCAGATAAAGGTGACAAACTCTTCAGGTTTCAACGTGTTTTTGGACCAGAGACAACTCAGGATATGATGTTTAGTGCTTCAAAGCATATGATTCAGGTAAAAGGATTGGAAGATATAAGCATATCTGTGTCGCTGTTACAGTAAAGTTGAGACTAACTGTGTTTTCTATTTTTGTGTCTAGTCAGCCATTGAGGGATCACAAATTATGATTTTTACGTACGGGGCTACAGGCTCAGGAAAAACCCACACCTTGTTTGGTGCTGGGGACGGTGTGGTGCCACGATCATTAGATTTAATTTTCGAACAACAACAAATAGTAAGCTTTTTTTAAATTTTTTTTATAAAATTGCTTTCTGTAATATTTAAATCAAAAGTGTCCTTTAATCCTCTTTGACCAGGGCTGGAAAATTAGCGTGTCCTTCGCAGAAGTTTATAACAATAAGTTACAGGATTTGTCAACGCCTAATGCCACGAAATGTATCAAGCCATCAGTAAGTTTTTGAATATTCATCATGGCCATAATTTTCTTTATGCTTCTTTACTGATTACTGTTATTTCTGAACGTTTCCGAGATATCATCTAAAGCAGAATTTCAAAAACATTTGAAAATTGCTCTTAAAAACAGGAAAACTTGTGCTACCTCAAGAAATGAACATTCCTCGAGATCCCACTTCATCATGGACGTAGAGATACAAGTACATAAGGATGGTTCTTCCTCCAGAGGTGGGTTGCTTACACATTGAAAATATTGTCTGTTTTCAAGAAATTTTTCAGTAATTAAAATTTTTTTCAGGTGTCATTACTTTTGTGGACCTGGCTGGGTCAGAACCCCCGACAGTCATGGAAGGACCTTCCCACCATACAGGGCACATCAACAACTCCCTGAGTGTTCTGGGTAGAGTGCTCAGGGCACTTTCTGTAAAAAAAGAAAAAGGTAAATGAACTTTGCTAGAAAAAAACAGTTAAACAATTGTAAAATTATTTTCGTATCCGTATATGAATTTTTAAAATTCTTTTTGTCACAGAATGTTTTGGTTCCATACCATGATTGCTGAGCGACAGCGAAGGCCGTTACTCCATTGGGGTTCAAAAGTTTTGTCTGTCTGTCTGTTTGTCTGCGCGCGTGTGTGTGTGTGTGCACTACTCCTCCTGAACGGCTCGGCCGATCCGGCTGAGATTTTGCAGGGTTATTAGGTATGTCCTTGGCTCGCCACACACCAAAATTCAGCTTTCTATCTCAATACATTCGGTCATATTAGCCAAAAAACACTTAAAAACCGGCAGAAAAAAGATAACTTTTTAGGTACTTTTAACTTTTTGTCAAGTTTCACATCGTTTCTTATGTTTTGGAGGCTGCTGATGACGAAAATAGAACCCGTTCGGACCCCCAACCGAGAGTTGAATCCCATTGGTGTAGATTTTGATGACCAAATGCTATTTTTTGAGGGGATCACGCCCATTTCTACGGTCTGCCTAGGAAAGCAGCCTGCCGAGGGCAGGTTACCGCAGCAGGCCAAAGTAGGTGTATACGCCAGGCGTGGATGGTCGAAACTGGCGCAGCATCGCGAAGCCTGTTACGACCAGACACGGTCTGGCGTACACCTACCTTGTTTACACAGCTTCCCGCAGACCTCTGCACTTGTCACTTGGTGCCCCGGGCTGGGGCACCAAGTGACAAGTCATTGGCTTAGCGATAGCGAAGCCTGTTACTCCAGTGCGGTTGAGAAGTTTTGTCTGTCTGTGTGTCTGTCAGTCTGCGTGTGTGTGTATACTACTCCTTCTGAACGGCTCGGCCGATCTGGCTGGCTGAGATTTTGCAGGCTTATTAGGTATGGTCTTGGCTCGGCACACGCGAAATTTCACCATCCTAGCTTTACTGGTTCAGTTTTTATAGCCGAAAAACACCTAAAAAACGGCGAAAAATCGAGTTTTCTGTCGGTAGACCTCTCCTGTCTGGATGAAAGGGGGGTCTGGGGGGCGGAGCCCCCCAGCCTCGACAAGTTGAAAAGTTACAAGGGTCAAGATCACGTAATTTGTAGATGAAGCACCTCTATCTAGAATGAAGGGGGGTCCAGCATGCAACAGTTCAGGAATAACTGATGATGTACAACCATTGTCTGCCGAAGGCAGCCTAGCGCCGCAGGCCAAGTTAGGTACGCCAGGCGCGGAATGGAGGAACAGGCAGCGAGACATCGCGAAGCCTGTTACGACAAGACGCGGTCTGGCGTAAACCTACCTTGTATAACTCACACTACCAGCATAGATCGACGCTCCAGCTTATTGAAAATTATACGTTTTAGGCTCTTTAAGCTTTCTTAGTATCAAACCATTCTGAACGGCGCCATTTTTTCGCAAGACACTGCATTTTACTACATTGCCAATCAAATTCAATGTTTTACGAAATTGGCGTCCAAAGTACTCTCATGTATGTTTCGTTGTGTGACAATCGGTAACAATTTACTTCGCGGTTGCCAAATCGATGTTTTGAAACGTTTAAATCGTTGAAATACGGTAAATAGAGTGTGTCTGCACTACCTCCCCCGGGGGCTCTTTATCGTTTAAAATTTGATATCAAGGAAATGAAATCATATGTGTGAGCTGGTTCAGCGAAAACAACTTACTATTATTGATTAAAAGTGTCAGAATGATCGGCAGTGCCGTTTACTGGAAGAATAGCGAGAAAACATTTTGTAAAAAAGTCATAAAATCTGTGATTTTGGGTAATTGGCTGAGCGATGGCGAAGCCTGTTACTCCAGTGCGGTTGAAAAGTTTTTTCTGTCTGTCTGTGTGTCTGTGTGTGTACACTACTCCTCCTGAACGGCTCGGCCGATCTGGCTGAGATTTTGCGGGCTTATTGGTAGTTCTTGGCTCCGCACACGCAAAATTTTCACCACCTAGCTCAAGTGGTTCAGTTTTTATAGCCGAAAAACACCTAAAAAACGGCGAAAAATCGAGTTTTCTGCAGGCAGATCACTTCTGTCTAGAAGAAAGGGGGGTCTGGGGACGCAGCCCCCCAGCCCCGCCAAGTTAGACAGTTACAAGGGTCAAGATCGTGTTATATGTAGATGAAGCAACTCTATCTAGAATGAAGGGAGGTTTGGGCCCCCCAGCATGCAAAAAGGGTAGAAGTCCGACGACAGAAAGCCATTGCCTGCCGAAGGCAGGCTAGCGCCGCAGGCCAAGGTGGGTACGCCGGGCGCGGATTGGAGGAACAGGCAGCGAGACATCGCGAAGCCTGTTACGACAAGACGCGGTCTGGCGTCAACCTACCTTGTTGTTGGGAATGTATCTAAGATTACGGTTCCAATATGATGTTCTGAATATTTTATATAAAATGTATTGTTTTAGATTTAAGTTTTCTCGTAAGCTTCTACTGTTGTTCCAGGTGGTCAAGAAAATGCAGCTGCTGCTGGTACTGTCCAAGGCCGAGGATTTTCTGCTGCTGGCTGTCCAAATCCAAGGCACCTGCCCAGGACCTTCTGCTGCAGATCCCTTTGGTGCTTCTCAGTACGCTCCTGTTGGTCAGTTCGCCCCCGAGCCCTCTGGTGCTGCTCAGTACGCTCCTGCTGTTCAGTTCGCCCCTGGATCCTGTGGTGCTTCTCAGTACGCTCCTGCTGTTCAGTACGCTCCGGGACCCTCTGGTGCTGCTCAGTACGCTCCTGCTGTTCAGTTTGCCTCTGGATCCAGTGGGGCTTCTCAGTACGCTCCGGGACCCTCTGGTGCTGCTCAGTACGCCCCCGGACCCTCTGGTGCTGTGCCGTGCGCACCTAGATATTCTGCTGGTACTGAACAGTACGGTGTATTGCCTTCTGCCAGTGCTGGGTCCGGTGTGCAAGGACAGCATACTCTAGGCGACCATCAGGGAAATGCCATATGACTACTATACCATTGCACCCAGGACAGTAAGTTCACTGCATTATCACTTGTAGTTCAAGTAGTTATCGCACCTTGGCAATGCAATACATGATTTGTTTCAGAGCTCGTTAAATATTGAAATTTTAAAAGTGAATGGTCTTGCATTGTGATATTTGGATGCTCAGTTTAGGGAATGGTATTACCGTATTTGATGATTCGTAAGTTGTCACACATTGAGAAACTGTCACTCTTTTCTCAGTTTAATACGTTTTCCACGTTCCTATTTTGAACGTGACCGGTCAGGCAGACTCTCTTTTAGCGCTCTAGGTGACATACGTCTCACCATCTTGGAATATCTGCATTTTGCAATGTGTGTGGTTTGACAGGGATCATGTCTAAATACAACTGTTATGTTCCAGGCCCCCAAGCTGCAGCCTCTGCAACTATTCCGTGGCAGTGCCGAAGTGGCGATGCGACGGTCCAGTAGAAGGGCACTCCTGCCAAGATTGTGTGGGAAGGTGTCCCCTATCAGCGTGCTAACTGTCTAGAAATTTAAGACTGTTTTCGTATGTTTGAGCCCTGTGGTCACATGCCGTATTGCCTCTAATAAGTAAAGGAGATTGCAAAGGCCATTATCGACGTGTATGGGGCCTCTGGACAATGCTAGGCCCCAAGTCAGGACTGTGGAGGTAAAAAAGTGGTGAGCACGCCAGTGATAAGTTAATGGTTGGTCAGTTTTTCTCCTGCCTCTTTTGGCTGTTTTTTGGCTGCGGCTCCGCCCGCCGCCCCGCCGTCACTCTTGCAGTCATCCTTGGCTGCATCGGTGTGTTCTCGCTGCCCCGTGCCGCTACGCTGTTTTAGTCGTTCTACGTTCTATACGTCCTACGTTGTTCTACGTTCTACACGTTCATGCTGTTTACCAATTGGTTTTTAGTTCTTTGGAATTTTTACAACTACAGTTGCTTCACTGGGACTTCGTTGAGGTGAGTGTCTAGTGTTTGTGAAGTGTGTTAGGGTGCGCCGTGGCGCCGTGGGATCCGTAGGGCCCCGCCGGCCTGCCCCATTCGCTTGTTCTATTGTTTCGAGGGTCGACAACTCTCATATTACCTATTACCTTATATTACCCTACCCTATATTACCCTATATTACCCTATATTACCTCCATATTACCACAATGTGACCACACATTTATGTGATTTGCTTGTTTTTAACCTAATCTAACGTTTAACTTGCCGTATTGAACCATGGTATCAAGGTGTTAAAGCTTTTGGGCTTCTCATTGCGACAGGAAGAAGTTCGGATTTCATGTCCGTGCTGAACCTGACACGAAGCTACGCGCCACACTTTTGTCAGATTGGTTGCATCGGGTTGCATACCTTTCATCTGACAGGGGGCTCTAGCATGAAACGAGGGTGGGGTCTGCATAATACTAAAATTCTGGCCGGAACTCATGATTTCAGCCTTAGTCAAGGATACTATGTCACGTTTTCATGTTCTTTTATCATATATTACCGTT